ATATGTTGAATAAATTAAATTATTGAGAATTGAAAATTATTTTTATCAGTAATTTTGAAGTCTGTCAAGAGAGAAACTGAAAGTTTCAATATATTTAATTGTGGATTTCATCTTCTTTTGATTTTCTTTGATATTTCTTTAAATATTTTCTTTTATTCTTCTTTATTCTGTTTCTATTTTTTTTTATTTTATAGGAATATCCTGTTTACTGCAAGTCTAAATTGGCACAATTTTCATTTTGCTCTCTCAAGGCAGTAACACTACTGATACTTTTATGTAATTAAAATTGCTTTTGAAAATATCAACTATATATAAATTTATTTGATATGTAAAGTAAGATAAATATAATAAATTTTGTCTTTATAATTAAAGTTAATGTCTTAATTTTAATAAAAATTAATTATTATATATAATTATAAGTATGATATGTTATAATAAATTTATATTTTTAACTATTGAATCAGTAATAAAAGCAATTACTTTATATTCTAATTTTGGGTTTTTTAAGAAATTCTTTATTATATACTATTACTTTTTCTGTTTATTCTTTTGAAAGACTAATATTTTTAATATTTTATATTAAATACTTTTGTTTTTGATATAAGAAATATTATATACATTAATTTTTGTTTAATAATATTTTTCTATTTATTAAAAGCCACTGTTATTTTTTGTAAATTTTGTTGTGTAGTTGTAATTTGTACTTATATAATTTCTTTTGTAGCTTTTTTTAAAATTTGATTAAATAATATTTGTCAACTTAGTAATTAAAATTTTTTATTAATCCATGAAAAAACCTTTAGTTTCTAGATTTTCAATTCATCTGAATATCCATCTATTCGATATTGTTATATAAAGTAATAATAAATTAAATATATGTTAAACTTTATTATTAAATCATTGTGTTAAATATAAAAATGAATTAATTATAGATGATTGAACTGATTTGTTATCTTTATTAATATAAAAATTATTTTCTTGCTAAATTTGTTTTGTTGAATTTGTTTTTTTTTTAATTCTATTGTAAATATAAAAGTTGATTGATTTATTGATTGAATATTTGCTTGCAAAGTTTTTATATTTTTGAAGATAAGCTTATTAAAAAAGCTTGTTAATAACTAAAATATTCTATACAATATTTGCAAATCACAGCTTTATTGGTACTATTAATTTTTTCATTTAAGACAATAAAGTGTTTACTTAAATGATGTCTAGGCTTTTCACTTGTATAAAACATTTGAAAATTAAAATTAAATTTTTTTGATAAGAAAATTATATATTTCAAATTTAATTAATTATGCTAATACTAATATATATTGTTTATTGATATGCATATTTGTTCAGTTCGATGAACAATGTTCAATAACAACTCTGGTTTGATTAGTGTTCTTAGTTGACAAATTTTCTCTAATCAATTGATTATTATAAATATAATAAACTAATTGCAATTAAAAATTTTAAGTTCTGATTGGCCAATTTTAAACTTTTCAACTAACGATTTGGAACACTAGTTTGGATGATTTCCGTTTTCATAAATCAATAATTTTTTTCTATTCAAATCAGGATTTGGAAATCTCTGCGAAAATCAAATTGAGATGATTGTGATAGTAGTGCGTAACTGTAAGACTTTTCTAGTCAATTTAATTTAGTGTATATGGTACAAACAAGACATATAAGCATACACATGTGCATACGAGTATTACAATAATCTTATATTTCAACTAGTATTACTTGGGATTCTTGCAAAAAAGACAATTATAGAAGTAATCTGTCCGATTATGGAAACAATGGTAATAGTCAAAGTAGACCAACTCAACGACTTGGACAAGTTTAAATACAGTGTTTTTATGATCTTGATCATAATTTTTAAATTAAAATCATGGATCCCTTCAAAGAACCAAAAGTATGGATTAAGGATGCCATCGATAATAAATACATAAAAAAATTTGATCACAAATCGTTCAAAAATATAAAACTTATTTCAAAAGAAGGCAACGTTAAAAGAGCTTATTTAAAAAAACATGAAAGAAACGTTGTTCTTAAATATCTAAGAAATGACAAATATAATAACGAAAGTGATTTTTATAAGAAATTTTCCAGAGAGGTATGCTATACTATACAATTATTGATGGTGTAATCTATTTTTACATATAAACTTACTATAACTCATTCTGATCAGGTGCGAAATTTAAATTGTTTAAATGTGTCTAGCGAAAATATAACCAAGTTTTTAGGTATTGGCGAAGGTACCTATTTATAATATAAATTATAATATATTTCTTATATTATTAAATCTTATAATGGTGTTAATTTTATCATATATATATTATTAGATCCTTCTCTCAAACTCTATTACATGGTACTTTTATTTGAGCGTGGTGAAGATCTTAGGACATATTTACAAGCAAAGTTCTTAGAACTAAACTGGCCTGCTAAAAAACAAATAGCCCTGGACATAACGAATGGGTTAGGTTATATTCATAATGCAAATATTGTACACGGTAACCTGGTAAGTATAAGTTAAAAATAGAGTTTATATATAATTAAAATAAAGCGCTAATTCACTACTCGTTTAACAGAATTCTAAAAACATATTGGTCCATGATGACACACCAGTGATTATAGGATTTGGTTCATCTATATCACTTGATGAACCTGATGATACTATTATAACGTCTGCCAAACCTTTTGATCGTGAATCAATGGTTTACGTTGATCCCAGATTCCTTGGATCATCCAATTATAAACGAGATAAATCTTTGGATATTTATAGTCTTGGAATTCTACTTTGGGAAATATCAAGTGGGCGTCCTCCTTTTAACGATAAGCACAAATGGGATGAATCAATGTTAAAATTCAAACTTATTTCTGGAATTTTGGAAGGGCCTATCAACGGAACTCCTGTAGATTACAAAGAGCTATATTGTAAAACATGGAACGGATTGCCTGAAAAACGACCATTAGTTGAAGATGTTAAAAATTATCTTAAAAATATTAATTTTGATCATGTATATCAAGATTCGTATTATGTTCCAGAAGTCTATTCAGGAAAAAATTACGATTCAATAACGGCCTGTTTAGTAGTTGTCCACGGTTATCCGAAAAATAGTCATTTTTTTCTAGGTCGATTCGAAACATTCTTGGGAAGGGATCCCACAAATCATATTGTTATTAAAGATCAAAATGTTTCTAGAAACCATGCAAAGATTACAAACGACAAAGGGAAAGTTTCAATAACTAATTTAGATTCATCGTCTGAAATATCTATTAATGATGATAAATTGATATTCAATGAGAGTTGCACTCTAAAAATAGAAGATTCAATCAGAATTGGAAACTGCGTTTTACAGTATCTTCCTGCCGGAGAACATGAAAATCGCCTGGATTCTAAATTACCGATTTTTAACGCTAGGTACTTGGAGAAAGTCTTAGAAAATGAATTTAAGAATTCCAAGGAAAAAGGATCAAAACTAAGCTTTATATTTTTTGATGTCGATCATTTCAAAGAAATAAACGATAGCAATAATCATGATACAGGTGATTATGTTTTAAAAGAATTAGTTAACCTTATTAAGAATCATCATGTTCATCCCGAAGATGTTTTTGCACGATTTGGTGGTGATGAATTTGTTCTTCTCCTTATGAACACAAATGCTGAATCGGCATATGAAATTGCGGAAAAAATCAGAAAATCTGTTGAGGCACATTCATTTATGCACAAAAAAAAGAAATTAACTATTACACTCAGTATAGGAGTCGCAGAAGTGAACACTTTAGTAGAATCTTCAGAAATTTTACGCAAGATTGCTGATGAAGCTTTGTGTGAGGCTAAAAGATCAGGTCGAAACCAAGTGATTATGTGGGATTTGCCAGGTAAATTTTTTTAATTTTTTATATAATCTTTATAAATAACTTATCTCTATTATTACATATTCATAGACGCCAATCGGCGAATCAAAAAAACTCTTGAACTACCTGAAAAAAGCTTTGGGATACGGAAACCTCTTGTAATTTTAACTGATCAAGTTCTGACCGAACAACTTAAAACTAAACAGCTGGAAAACCTTGATATAGAACAGTTAACGTACTACATTAATTTGCACTGCAAGAATCAACCCAATGATGAACAAGCATTTAATCTACTTGAAAAAGTTAACGAATTCTTACAAGACTCAAATAAGAAAGTTCTCTTACTCACGGGTGATGCAGGTGCAGGAAAATCCACATTTACTAGGAAACTTGCACACATCTTGTGGCAGAAGTACAAGGATGAAGGAGGAACTATCCCGTTGTTCATCTCACTACCAACTTTAAAAGACCCGGTCTCTAATCTTGTTCACGAGTATTTAAAAGATAAAGGCGGTTTTTCAGAAGAAGATATTCGGATTCTTAAGAACCGGCGTTTTACCTTCATTTTAGATGGCTATGACGAAATAAATACACAGGGTCAGAATATCTACGTGTCAAATAAGTTTGAGGAATGGCAAGTTCAGGTCATAGTGAGTTGTCGCACCGAGAATTTAAATACTCGATATAAAGATAATTTCTGTCCGTATGGCTATGACGACCTGCCAGTCTATGAAGCGTTTCAAAAACTTATAATTGCACCGTTTTCTCAAGAACAAATTGATGATTATATTAAGAAACATGTAGAGATCAGAAAATTGGACGAATGGGACATCACGCGTTATCAAAAAGTCATAAATGGTATTCAGAACTTACAAGTCCTATTAAGTAATCCTTTCATTTTAAAAATTACTATGGAGGTTTTGCCCGATTTGGAAAGAAGCTCGGAAAATTCATTAAAGCTCACTCGATTGGACTTGTATCATGCGTTTATGGACAAGTGGTTTGGAAAAGCTAAGGTGCGCATGGAAAAAGTTCAAGCGCTACTAGATGATGAGGAGAAGAAAATATTTACCGAATTAAACAAAAAGGAAGGTGGCTTTCTGCGTGAGGTACTTAGACACATAAAAACCTTTGCATTGAAATTATATGAAATGCAACAAGTAATAGTGACATATTATGAAGATGACGACGATTCGGATTGGAAAGCCTTTTTCGGCGATGATCCCAAAACAAAGTTGCTACGTAGTGGTTATCCGTTAAAACGCATAGAATATTCTATAAGTTATACTGAGAAGGCGAACCAATACAGTTTTTTACATAAGTCTTTGCTAGAATATTTTATTGCCAGAGCAATTTACGAAAGTAAATTCGAAAGGGATGAAAATGCGAAGAAAGCAGAGGAACTATTTTTTAATAGAAATTTCATTGGTGATCATGGTGTGATTTGTTTTTTGGTCGAGTATGTCCAACAGGAAGAGACATCAACATTTAAAGACAAGCTTCTAGGCTTTATCAGTAAATCCAAAAGAAATGAAACTTTTCAAACCGCTGCAGCTAATGCGATCACAATTCTAACCAGAGCGGGACAAATCTTTAGTGGTTGGGATTTAAACCATATTCGTGTTCCCGGAGCAGACTTAAGTTATGGCGTGTTTGATCAAACTCAATTTGAATGGGCTGATTTGAGAAACGTTAACTTTCAAGGGACATGGCTGAAGGGTGCAAATTTTAGCGAGGCCAATATGTCAGGTGTGCAGTTTGGTGAAATGCCTTTTTTGGAAAACAAAGGCCCGTGCCATTGCTGCTGTTATTCTTCGGACGGAAAATTTCTTGCTGTCGCTAGTGAAACGAAAATTTATCTCTATGATGTGGGGACATTAGAGAACATACTTACCTTCAAAGGACATACTAAAAAAGTTACGTGTATAAGTATTTCACCAGATGGCACCCGACTGGCATCTGGTAGCTACGACGAAACAGTGCGACTGTGGTCATTCAAGAACCCAGACAAACCGCACGTTCTAAGAGGACATAATCATCGGATTAGAAGTGTGGCATTTTCCCCGAATGGCACACAATTGGCATCGGGCTGTGACGGTAAGACAGTGCGGCTGTGGTCCCTAGAGACCCTAGATCAAGCTCCGCGCATTCTAGAATATACTAGTTTTGTTAACAGTGTGGCATTCTCTCCAGATGGAACCCAACTAGCATCGGGCAGCGCGGATAAGAAAGTGCGGTTGTGGTATTTAGAAAACCTGCATCAGAGTCCGAGCATTTTAGAAGGACATGATAGAAGTGTTACAAGCGTGGCCTTCTCTTCAGACGGCACCCAACTGGTATCGGGTAGCGATGACTGCACAGTGCGGCTGTGGTCCCTTAAGTCCCTGAATCAGAAACCTCTCATTTTAGAACACAATGATTGTATTTATTCCGTGAGCATCTCTTCAGATGGCACCCAACTGGCATCGGGTAGCGCAGACGAGACAGTGCGATTGTGGTCCCTTAAGGCCCCGGAGCAGGAACCACGAATTTTAGAAGGTCATACTAAAAAGGTTATAAGCGTGGCCATCTCTCCAGATGGTACCCAGCTAGCTTCAGGTAGTAGTGATGGGAAAGTGCGGCTTTGGTCTATCAAGACTCCGGGTAGAGAGTTACGCGTTATAGAAGGACATACTGCAACTGTTAATAGTATAGCTATCTCTCCGAATGGTACCTTGCTAGCTTCGGGCAGTGATGACTTGACGGTACGGCTGTGGTCAATTATAACTCCAGATCAAAAACCACGCATCTTAAAAGGACATACATATTCTGTTAGTACGGTGATCTTTTCTCCGGATGGTACCCAACTGGCATCGGCAAGTGGCCCCATGAGTGGTAAATTAGGTAGTAGGGTGTTGCTATGGTCCCTCGAGACCTTGGATCAGGGACCGGTCATTCTGGAAGGACATACTAGACGGATTAAAAGTATTGCTTTCTCTCCTGATGGTACCATATTAGCATCGGGTAGCTCAGACAGAACAGTACGGCTGTGGTCCCTTAGCACACTAGATCAGGAGCCAAAAATTTTAAAAGGACATAAATTGTCCGTTAATACAGTGGCCTTCTCTCCAGATGGGACAAAACTAGCATCGGGAAGTAATGATAAAACAGTACTACTATGGTCGCTTGATACTCCGAATCAGGCTCCGTACGTCTTGGTAGGACATACAAACCATGTCGATTCATTGGTTTTCTCTCCGGATGGTGCGATACTGGTATCGGGCAGTAAAGACTGTACTGTGCGGCTATGGTTACTTAAAGATCTAAACCAGAAACCACACATTTTAACAGGACATACTGCCTGCGTTTATAGTATTATTATCTCACCAGATGGAACCCAACTGGTATCAAGCAGTGAAGACTGTACGATGCGACTGTGGTCTATGATCTCTGGACACTGTCTTGCCATTGTACACCTCCCGGAAGTAGTTTGTGGTCTCGCTTGGAAGGTTATAGAATCAGATAATTTCCTGTTTACAGGCGGTAAAGATAAGGTTATTCGATGGTGGCGTGTGGAAAGAATAGACGATCGAACATCACGAGTCATTTTACATTGGACGTCATATCAAGCTAAGCTGTGGCTGACCAAAGCATTTATCCAAAATGTAAGAGGTTTGAGTTCAATGAATACGCGTCTCCTAAAGCAAAGAGGTGCCATTGATGAAAATGATTACCAGAATTATGACGTTATTTATAATTAATATTTATACTGTGTTCATAATAAATGTTTTATAATATAGTTTATTTTTTAGTTTTACTGTAAAATATTTATTTATAAAATATTGTTTAAAAAATTTATATTTTTTATATAACAACCTTGTAATAAGTTTCATTTATTATTTATTTATTTTTTAAATAAAATTATATTTGTTAAAATGTAGTAATTCGAACAAAATAATTGATTTAATTAATTTAAAAATCAAAAATTTTATTGAAAAAAAAATCAAAAATCAAAATCTTAAAATTAATAAAATAATAATCAAATATTTAAAATTCAAATATATAAATTATTTTTTGACTTGATATTAATTTTTTAAAAAAATTTCAATGTTTTTTTAGAATGTACAGTCTGGAACAAAAAAAATCACCTAAAATTAAAATTATATTTATATATATATATATATATATTTTAAGTAGGTAAACATTATTGCTTTATTATAATTGTAAAATTAAAAAATTTATATATGAAAAAAGTAACATCTCTCACATGACCAGTTTATTAATAAGTTTAATGCTAACTTGCCTATGGTAAACTATTTAAGTTACAAAGGAAAAGAAATATTGAAACCAATACATTGTCAAAGATAATACCAAGTAGCTATAAATACCTATTTATAGTTACATGTAAAAAGATTATAAGAAGTATAAAAGAAATAAAATACTAAGCAAAGAAATAAATGCAAAAAAACTAATTGTAAAATTAATGATGCTTCAAATAAGTACACTACACCGATGGTTTCATTTAACTGAAATATAATATATACAGTCGGGAACAAAAAAAATCACCTTTTTTTTCAATTAATATTTTTAATTATAATTCAATAAATAATTATTTAAATTTTATGAAAT